ACACAACACACACACAAAACACACACAACACACACACACAACACACACACAAACACACACACACACAAACACACACACAAACACACACACACACAATGAACAGAGAAATCAAAGGAACATGGTTTTAATAAATAAATATACCAGAAATATACTGCTTTTGTGGCTCTTGTCTACCCTCTGCTGTATGTTTGGGCGGCTATTTTGATTTTTTCAATAAAAGTTACTTGCTAGAATGGAGTAATTTATACTACTGTGTTCTTCCAACAGGGAATACAGTCACTTGTGCCCAAAATAAAAGGTTTTGTTGACTTATGGCTGTTTTTCTATTTTCCTTACAAATTGGCGGTCATATTGAAAATGCCCAATGTGTCGGAGGTAGCAACCAAGCTAATTTTACTTCTCTAGCCATAAGGAATGCATTTCTGTAAAAAAAAAATGTTCAGGACTGAACATTGCAGGATTAGACTATTGGGCTTATGGGAGTGGCAACTCTACTATAATGCTATTGCTGTAATGATTTTAACTATGACATTATTCTTAATATTTCGACAATTTTTCTTCTATTTTTATAAAATAATAAAAAAAAACTTAAATTGGAGACAACATTAATCACGGCAATCACGGACAGTTACGAGAAGAAATATGTAATTGTGATCATGAGATTCAATGTTAATAGACTATATATTAAAAATTTAATATATATTAAAATATTTCAGTATATCTAGATTTCAAAATCTGACATACGCTTTTCTGGCTAAATCCATTAAAAGGATATGCTATCAAAATATCCTTAGATCTACTGTATAAACAGTCTCACAAAAATCACCAAGGAAAAAAAAAGCCTCACGACAAAGGTACGGTTTTAGTCACATGTGACGTAGTAATATTACTATAAATTGTGAAAGCGGAAGTTATTTTAAGCACAATCTGACTGGTATTTAAATATACCTTTGGTTATGTGAGTTTGTTACTCACAATTACATGTGGTTTTCTGATTTTGGGGATTTACTTTGCTCATCTTTGTTGATATATTTATGAAATGAGTTAATTCACGTTACGTTCTATTTTTGTTGTCTACTGCAAATTCACCCACTCAATAAAAAAAACCGCTAGGGCTCTAGTATATTTATAGATGTACGTGAGTCAGGCAAAATACCCTATGGCGTCATTCGTTTTTCCGTCGATCATCAATATTCTAGAAGTGAAAGTAAAATTCATGTAATTCAACTTTTAGAATGCAAAATTCTGACATACAGCAGTGGCAGATTTAGAGGGAGGGGTCAGGGGGTCCTGACCCCGCACCCCCCCCCCCTCCGGTATCTGAAAAAAGTCACATTAATATTCCCCCTCTTGGAAATAGAATTTTTACTAGCTGATTTATAGTACTAAACCGTACCATATAGCAACGTTCGCCCTCTAAAATAGCAAAAACGGGCGGGGGGTGGGGGGTCGGCTTCGCATCCGCGGTCCGCCCCCTTCAAATAATCCAGGTCCGCCCCTGTACAGTGTACACTTGTATGAAGCAGTCAAATGGAGATTGATCGCAGGTTGAAAGAGACTATACGCAAACTTTTCTTCTATACAATTAAATAGAAATCTTTAATCTGGTTGTCTAAATATAATATCTTCCTTCAGTTTTTCTCAATCTGGCTAAAGTCAAATAGACCAAGTTGTCAAAAAATAAATGAATAAACATATTTCTCATTAAAAATCTTCAAGCAATTGAATTAAAAGCCTCGCGAGATAAAAATTGACTTCTCTTTCATACTCATCCTTACAGTCTTTTAACAGAGGAATGCTATTTTTTTGGTATTCTATTCTAAGCGTTCCATTATAAACCTCATATGCCACAGCTAAATTGTGTATGACATTGTAGGGCCACAATTATCTTTACAAACCTGCCCAATTCGCGTTGAATTGCTCAAAGCGGAATATAAATATATTGTATATATTGATCGAAGTGTCTTGCTCTGTGTGTAAAAAATGCGACTGATATAAATTTCGACTGGAATATCAACATAGTCTTCTGTCTGTTTTTTTTTTTTCAGCTTTCACAAAAAATTATTTAGAATGTAACATCATAAATTTTGAGACTAATAATATCCAATGAATCTCCTTTGGGTAATAAGGGCGTAATAAACTTTTAAAAGAAAGTTTACTTTTGCGCCTGGACTCTTCACCTTTAGTGAAGATAATATGAATACAGTGTCTATCTTGAGGTAGGATAGCGCGTTTAAAAATGGTTAATTTCGTATGGGTAAGCAAATCAATTATTTAACATAGGAAAAGGCTCCTAAGTCTAAAACAATTAAAAGGTCTACACTAGTGTTTCGATCATGGGCTCGGACCAGGCTTTGGAAACCCCTATATTCAGTAATCAAGTACATAATTTTTGTAGCTATATCGGATTCAAGTGAAATCGGTGGATGCTTAACACCCCCCCCCCCCTTCAGAGGTACTCGTATAGTTCTGCGTTAACACACTCAAAACCCTAATAGGCCCCAGAGGAGCATGCGCACAAACTGTCTGCGTTTTCCATGAAATGATTAAATTACAGACGCATTGGAAGACGATACACGTAAACTGAGTCACTGCATATAGCGACAAAAACATGTATCCTTACCGGGCTTAAAGGCACGCTTGTAACCGTCTGGTCCTCTAAACATCTGTGTCCCACTATCAACGCTGAGGTGGAAGTGTGACAAGTGCTTCTATCTGCCGGTCCTCAGAAAGTGAAGGATGATCCCGCAGCGTCTGAGAACGTCCCTCTTTCCAGTGTTGGCTTAAAGAGCCGACGATCGATGTGCAGTTGGACGATAGCAGAAGTGAGACAGTTATGCAGCTCCGCCAGATGTAACAACTTTGTGTGGTAATCGATTTACTGCGGAGTGTCATTTGGGGGCAAGGCTGCGCAGGTTTGACCTAGCTGCGACCGTGTTTACTTTATAAGCAGGTACATTCGTGTACTGTGCACAAATAAACGGTTTTTGTGCTGTCAAAAACAGGACGAGTTCAACGCAGTAGACTGAGGTGCGATAAAGAACCGCGGGGCCCGCATCAATAGTGGATCGTAAAAGTGAGACTGTAATAAAGGGGTCGTGAAGGGCCCGTTAAAACCAACTGATATCACAAGAGCATTTTGATTTTTTAGCTGACTGAAACGAAAGTTTGGAATTTGTATGAGACTGTATATTTATTGATTCTCTTGTTTCCCCGTGGATTAACAGCAAAAGCCTGCTTTTTTAGTAAAAAGCAGCGACATCCTGATTCTCAGCAATTTTCCGCTTTCTATGAAGGTAAGTCAACCGTCAACGTCTCCAGAATAAAAATGCATTTATGAGTTTAAAAAAAATCACTGTAAACAATAAATAATTATAACTGTAAACTAGTAATGGATTAAGACTGGAAATAGATAAATAATTATTAAATTTATTATTATCAGACTAACTTATACTTTGCCTCATATGAGCCCCAGTCGGGCGTACCATAAGGATACAGGTTCACTTTTGAGAAAATGAAAGTAAAAAATAATGAGAGAATTTGCCTATATAATGAGAGAATTTAGAGGGCTCATGGTGATACTGGTAATGTTTTCTTAGAGAATTTATACATGTTATCGGGTAATATTATGATGTACAATATACCATTCGTACATACATACATCGGTATACATTACGTGTACATGTAGGTACATGTATATGTTCATATATTTTCAAGTGAAAATCAGCTGAATATGTCACAGATCTACCTTTGCGATATTATCCTGCCGACAAATTGTATCCTTAATTGCCGTGTGTTTTTTTTTTAATTTCAATTAAAAGATATAACAAAAGAAGCTTAATTGTGAGTTTATATGTGCAAAATCGAAAAAGAAAGAATCATCCAAGAGGCCTCTCCGTGTCGCGTACCTATAAATGTTGTGAAATTATCAGTTATATTTCATTTAAAAATAGCCATGTTTAAAACTTATTTGAACCTGAAATACATGCCTCGTGTAAAAAGTTCCACAGAGACGGGTAGGATTGTGGTTCATGATGAAAGTAAAATTTCCTGATGATTTTATTCTTAACAAGGTAAAAAGCAAATTCATGTTTGTATTTATATACATGTTTTCTTACGTGAATATCTACATGTACTTGCACAGTTCATACCGCTATTGGTGACGGTGTGGCATTGCTCTGGATGGCCTCTCTAACTGGTTCAAAATCCTTTGAAGGACAATTTTGTAACGGGTGAAAAGACTCCAGTTGAGAATAAGTCTGCCTCTCGTACTGTCTAACCCCAAAATGTGTTTTAATTCAACCAAAGCCATTTATGAAATCTTAAAATAAAACTGGTCATTTATTTTGAATTAAAATGTTTTAATAATTCTACAATGGGTCATAATTTGAAGGTTGTCATTTATGTCTAATTTTATTTTATTTTTATTAATTGCAATATGATTGTAACTTTAATGGGTTAGATGTTGGTAAACCGAACGATGGTATTTCATTGTCCTGATGACATGTATCCTTACAATGTAAGTGTTGTGGCTTTTATTCACGTAGAAAATCGAAAAATATTAGGCTACTGTGTGTTTAAAAAATCAATTGGAGATCACGCGATGTGACTCTTAAACATAAGGTAATTAATTTGTAATCTCGTGATTATTCTACCAAGGTATGAGCTACTCCCACTCTTTCAGTTATACATGTAGTCATAGATTTATCATAAGTTTTAAGTTATATTGAGTAGTGGCACCAGCTGTTTTTTTTTTTTTTTTTTTTTTTTTTTCATTCTCATATATAATGTCTATTTTCATTAATCATATATTAGTCAGTAAGAATATCTCTTCGTCTACCAATTAGGGATATTAATTCCCCATGATTTTCTTAGAGCTTGCACTCTAAATTATCGGAATCTGTCGAAAACTCGGAGAATATATCATTGTTTCACTTTCAAGTGTCAACAGCCCCCACATAGTTTAGTTTCTATAACAGTGATAGAAATACAACGTAACGCGTTGTTACTTACTTGATGTATCGATTGACCTGAAAACTGGTGGTGCTTTATATTGTCATATAAACAACCCACATCGGCTCCTTTCCTACATAAGCTAGGCACACTGCTTTACTCGGGTGGACTCACTTCTGTTCTTGTTTTTTAATAGGTGGACTGATTGTTAATATTTACTCGATAACACTGAAATATCAATAATTGTGAACTCTTTACCCACATTTGTACATGGCCCTATGCATATTACACACTGTTTACGTGTGTGCTATTTTATTGGTCATATAAACTTAACTTATTTAATTTATTTTTTCTGGACCTTCTTACTGTGCTTCTTTTCAGTTTCAATTTCTTTCTTTCTTTTTTTTAAACATATTTTATGATTCGTTTTTATAGTTTTCAAAGATCTCATAGATACTAATTACTGTTAATGGGAGCAATAACTTACATAGCTCATATTCTATTCACATATTTTTCAATAGAACTGAAGATAGTGTTAACTGTGTATGAACATATACGGGGTAAATAACAATCCGCTCTTTTCTATAAAATCGGGTAAAATTAAAACAAATTCTTTAATTGAATTTAGAAACTTCTTGCATCTCTTCATTATAATGTTGTTACAAAAGTGAGATGTGTTAGCTTGTGATGAAATCAGACAATACGTGTAGAGTAACCTAGTGATAATGACATTCATACTGAATTTCGCAGTAAGTCTTAGAAATTATGGAATCGAGAGACCATCCCAACGCAAAAGCCTACATGGTTTCCACAAACTTACGTTGTTTAAAGCCGTGCGGGACTACTACCTCTGTTCTCTATATCAAAATGCACGTGGTCCCAAGAAGTGAATGCCTTTTTTGCTTTGAAATGGTTAAGGAGCCGTTACAACATTCAAATAGCAGACACAAAATACATGCTTGTGTTATACTGTATGTACTGTACACACAAAGACTTGTAGCATAAACGCCCGAGGCAAATATAGTTCTTTGTAAAGGACTAGTTACTTCCCCAATGTTGCCATGGCGGTTGTATCTACGGGTCACCACTTTTACACAAGATTCAGTGGCACCTAATAGAAGCTTAATTACATGAACCTTCGTTTATATGATTGTTGAAAGTGGTGTGATGGAGATTAAATGTCCGACATCTGTAGCACAAAAGAAAACAATAATGAATTAAGTGGCTGGTTTCAGTTAACTTTAGTAGACATATTTTCTTTCGTTTTCCCATTTGGTTGGCTATGTAAATGCGTGCGGTTTTTAAAGGTGCATACACAACACATACACGCACACACACCACCTGAGCAGTAATACATGTAGATTAAATCATAGCTTACAAAAATCAGGAGCCTTCACGCATTTTTAATTCTGTCTATATCTCTTAGATTTTATTTTAATATATGTATGTTTTTTAATAAGATTGATTTTTAGTAGTGTAAATTTTAAATGGTTTCCAATGAGAGTTTATGATTAAATATTGTAGTCATTTTAATGATTTTAGTATATTAGCCATTATTGTAAGGCGCCTTGAGATAGAATGTAAGGCGCCATATAAGAATCATATTATTATCATTATATTATTAATTTATACTTGCCATTCTGAGGGAAATGTATTTATCCATCCAGCAGATTGAGATTGAACCAACTAATCGGTTTGTTTGTGAAAAAAAAAACAGCAACACAAAACACAATTTCAAAAAGGCAAATATAAGCCTACCGCACGTAACAAGTTAAGATTTTCTGACTAATTATGATACGAAAGATATTTAGACGAAATAGAGCTATTTGCCACAGTTCATAAAATGTTTTGGGTAAGTGCATGGTGGTGTATACTTGTATATTGCAGATGACGTGGCAGTGGAGGTGTTGTTTCTGCTTGTGACAGTCAATATAATCCAAAGGGACAGTGGACAAAGTATTACTTCAGGCAAGTTTCAACAACCAGGTAGCAATGATATATTGGTATAGATATAAAAGTTATACTTAACAGCACATAAAAATCGTCTTGATTTCATTTTCCACAGTTGCGATTAAAAGATGATAAGAAAACGTGAATCGTGATATATATTGAAATGTAAATTAATAATACAGGCTATAAGCCTTTGGTATTTTAATTAATCTGTATTGTCCTAGCCCGAACCACTTGTCTTGTCTCTAGTTGCTGAGGCCTGCTGCCGCTTTCAGCTAATTTGAAATGGTGGCATTAGCTTTAATTTAGTGCGCGTGCGTGTGTGTTTTGTAGTCCATCAATCTGTCTGCGATCTTCCCGGTGTGCTTGCCTCTTCATTCAGGACTAAAACAAAGAAAGAATGAATCCAAGCAATAGCCTGTTTTCCGCTGTTTTAAACTCCAAAAGACTTTTGTTTGAAAATAGCATATGTTTTATATTACAGCGCGCCCTTCTATTGCCCTCAACACAACAGAAATACATGCAGTCTGTTCTTTTCCATGGTGTCGTAGAATCACAGTCTGGTCCAATGGCAGGCGTAGAACAAAAAGGTGGGTGCACATAAAAAACAAATGCACAATTGCATGTTAGTTGCAGTATCATTTCAACAAAATTATTGAATTTACCGATACCATGTCTTCCCTAGACCCTGGAATATATATGTATACCGGTATGTACTAATTTAATACTGCTTAATTTATATTCTCATTTGCTTTTGCTAAACCGCATTTTTTATTTTTAATAATCCTCAACGACAACAAACGCAACGCCCAACATCCAACATCAATTTATTTCCAATTGCAATGAGTCGATTTGTCTTTAACTGCGAACAGTTATTTCGACCTTCTGTACGCCTGGATCAGAATTATTAGTTTTGTTCACGTTTGTCTCATTTTAATATTCTGGTGCACACATCGTACTTTAATCGAATTCATTTTGCGATTGTATTGTTTACGCTATTAAAACAAACGCAAATTGCGTCTAAAGATCAGTGATTTGTATCAGGCATTAAGTGGATAACTGAATGCCTGATATAAATCATTTGTCTGTGCCGTAAGGCTCGTTTCTCCTTCTCACGTGATCTGTGAACTCAGGATGTTGACCCCCATGGTGTATTTGTTGCCCTAACTCTTGGACTATGCATTTAAACTTCCCCTAATTCTCTCAAAGTGATGTCTATTTGTCGAGAAAAATATGCTGTTATTTTTGGCTATATACTCTAGTTCCATATATGAAAATAAATCTACATATTCTTTCGTGCGTTTATATTTTTGTTCAGTATACTTTCACTGACCCCCTCTTACTTTACGTCATCGTTGTCCTATTAAACGACAATGGCAATAAGTATATCGATACATAATGCACTAATATTTGCTAAACATGCTTTAAAATAGTCGCTTAATGCAACGAATTAGAGATTTTGTAAATATGTTCAATTTTCTTTCGAAATTCGATCGGCACAGCTTGCTCATGATCAACTGTTGTTATTTGGCCATGCAATGTGTAATGTTGTGATCGAATGTCACTGTTTGTAAATGTCACTATCCAAGAGACTACAATACGCAGACTTTCGGCATACATACATACATTAACATACAATCATACAGATATACATACTAGTATTTTCATTTCAGAGTATCCATGCCATGGCATTAACCATATGCCGACGGGTTATGTCGCCCGTGACGACCCAGAGAAGAAGGTGCTTGAGATTCTCGAGAGAGAGAAATCCGTTGGTATTGTGTCCTCCCAAGGTATTCACGGTCCAGGAGGTGTCGGTAAAACGTACCTAGCCCAGGCTGTGGCCTGGAAAATGCGCGGTAAAATGGAGGTAGTCTTTGTGGAAGTCGGCACAAACCCCAACATGCTCAGCATAATGAATAGTTCTTTTTACCCTTATCTTGAAAATGGCACTAAGGGCAATTTCACCGAATTGGAAGATGTTTGGATATGGTTAAGTAAGATCACAAAAAAGAAGAAAGTTCTCATTGTTTTAGATGACGTCTGGTCGGAAAAAACGACCATTCAGATTCTATGGCAGATGAGAGAGGCCCTATCCGACGGAAGTCAACTTCTATATACAACACGCACGAAAGATCTCTTGCTTAAAGTCAAAGCGACACCTTATGAGCTAGGGGTGGTTCCTGAAGCGGAGAGATGGGACTTCTTTGTGAACTGCGCGGCCTTGAATTTAGAGGATGAACAAGTAAAAGCCAACACAGAACAAATAGGCAAAGCAATTATAGAAAACACAGACGGACTACCTATTATCTTAGACAACTATGCACAGCACCTAAAACAGGGTACAGAGGGGGTTAGTTTCCAAGATCTGCTGAACCAAATTAAAGATGAAGTGACAGGAAGTGAACAGTGGTTAGAGCGTAGTTTCCATGCGTTGAAACCCAGTACAAATTTCATAGATTGCGATGTGCTTTCATTGCCAAAGTCGAATGATCTCAACCGCGTGCAGCAGTTGTTCTTGTGTCTCGGGGTCTTCAAGGACGATGAGCGTTTTCGATCATCAGTGCTGGAAACAATATATAAATTATCTGACGAAATCAACGCAAGCGAAGAGGATATCAAGAAAATTGTACACGAAGATCTGAACATCCTCGCCAATCACTCATTGATCAAATTCATACATGAGCAGAATGGCGATCTGACATACACCATGCACGACATTGTGCGAGAATATGCGTTGAAGAAGGGGGAACAGACCTTTAGGTACAAGGAATCAGGCAGGTATGAAAGAGAGTTGCACAAGCTGCTGCTTATGGCATTCAGGGCGAAGCTAAATACTGAAGAGGATATCAAGCATGCGCCGTGGTTCGAGACGGATACGAGTCAAAGCTATTTCTATGAAAATGCGGTATACCACTTCCACAAAGCCGGGTTTTCTCGTGTCAATATGTCCTTACTTACGAATTACGAATGGCTTAGACAAAAACTTAAGGTCTCGCCTGTGGCGAGCATTCTGTCTGACTTCACAATCGTGTCAAAGCATGCGACAGAGGAAAGCATCCTTTTTCGGACTTTGCACGACTGTTTGAACTTATCCAAAGATGCTTTGGCCATCGACTTTGACCAGCTGGCTTTCCATTTACTTAGTAGGCTTAAGGGCCACCCATCCCCAGATGTGGAAGATTTCATCAAGCAAATTCCACAAAATCACATGCCTATACTCCCGTTATCATCATGTTTAGTGCCACCTGGTGGTGGTAGAAAAGAAGCCTTGAAACACCCGGGTACCGTATTGGGGATGGCCGTGCCAAACGACGGGAGCTGCCTTTACACGGGCTGCAATGATGGGTTTTTAAGGGTGTACAACTTTGAATCCGGTATCAAACAAAATGTTGGGAGAAGCAGGCATCAGCATTCGCGTTCTGTTTGGGCTGTGGGAGTTGATGCTAATAATAGATACCTGGTAACGGCATCGTTAGACCATTCTGTTAAAGTCTGGTCTAATCAAGTCACTGATGACCAGGAAAACGCTGAACCATCTTTAAGAAAGCACGAAGATCAGGTTTACACATTGGCAATGTTTCCGGATGGCAAACGCTTCGTTACAGGATCCGCAGATGCAACAATTAAGTTCTGGCGGATTAATGACCCAAATGAAGATGGGGAACCCATCACAAATCATCGAGGCACAGTTCGCAGTTTGTGCATATCACCAGACGGCAAGAAGTTGATATCTGCTTCTGAAGATGGCACAGTGTGCGTTTGGGATTGCCAGAAACGAACTCAGTATCGCCAATTTAAACGCCCCCTAGTGAATGGAAAGGTCGCCGCTAAAGCCCTATGTGTCTGTGTTTCTCGACCAACCGGTGCTTCATTAATCGCGGGTTATGAGGACGGAAAAGCGTGCGTATGGCATGTGGAGAAGAAGACATGTCGAGAGACTACGCGGGAACATATCAATGAAATATTTGCTGTTGCCTCAAGGTTTCATGAGGATGAAAAAGGAGAGAAGTCGGTTTTCTTTACCGCTGGAGATGACTGGAAAATCCTTATGTGGGACATAAAGAGCCTTCAAGTTTTGGCAACTGTTCGTGGCCACAGCGGCAGAATACGCACCATCCTCATTACCCCTGACAACAAGTTCATGATTACCTCGTCAGAGGACCAACATGCCATCAGGTGGGATCTCAGTAAAATTCAGGCAACAACATCAGCCCCACGAGAACAACACCAGCTATATGTAAGCTCCGTTGCTATCTCAGATGATGGGAAGGTGGCGGTTACGGGGTCCTTCGATGGAACTCTAAAACTGTGGGATCCAGTGACTGGCAATTTTCAGATGAATTTGGGGAGTCCTCATGAGGGCAAAGTGACAAAGGTCTTTATTGATGACGATGCCAAACAGCAAGGCCAACTCTTGGTTGTGTCCGCATCAGCAGATCGAAGCATTAAGCTGAGGCTGGTATGTTTAGAGCAGGAGAGACCTGTCGTTAATTTGCACAGGCACCACCAGCTGAAAGGCCACAAGTTTGCCGTCATGGACGCGTGCTTTACTGCAGACAGAGGGCACATCATCTCGGGATCCTCGGGAGGAGAGATACTTAAATGGAACCTGGGTGATGGGACTCACGTTGGAATTGTCATTAGCCCCGCATTTTGTGTCAGGAAGGTTCAGCTGAATGGAGAGAACGAAAGGAAGCTTATGGTTGCAATGTATGAAACAGTTGCGTGCATCGACACTCAAAAAACATTCGATTCTCTGCAAGCATGCCGACCAGGCGAATGTAACCACGCTGATCTGCGACCGGATGCGATGATCACAGCGCCTAGGAAAGCCAGCATTCCTGTTTGTTCGTGGGAGAAGGGGTTCTATTTTCCACTATTAGAGAATGGCAAAGTGGCCACTGTCAATACTGACAACCACATTGAATGTTTCGGTGATACCGCCCACGGAAACGCACATCGGTTTTTAGTTACCGCCATGAAAAAGATAACCCATGAGGAAAAAGATTATTTCCTCTCTGGGACGGACAGTGGCGACATTCTTCTTTTGAAAAGAGAGGAAATGACGTCAGCGCCTGTCGCTATGGCCAAGCCAAAGGTGGACAGTATCGAAATTGAAGCCAAAGTCACGTCTCTTTCTTGGTGCGGACGCACCCTAAACTCTGCCCCGGTGTGCTGTGCAGGTTTTCAAAGTGGTGACGTCTGCATATGGCAAGACATAAACATAAACGAAATGTCTACAAGTCCTAAAAGACGTAGCATTCAAGAGAGCATCACAGCTCGTCTTGTCAACAGCTTCGGGAATGAGGCTAATGTCTTGGTGGAGATTGTTCGACATGAAAATCAACAGCGCCAAGAAGATGCATCCATAGCTGTGCTGTCGGTGTACATCCCGCTCGACACTGGGGCTGAACCTCACCTCATGATCCACAGTGTGCCCCTAAATACGCCTGGACAACCGCGGCAATTAAAAAGTTTTATTTTACGTGATCATATACCCACATGTTTGCTGCAGTTACCTGGATCCAGGATTGTGGTCGGCAGCAGTGCCAGGACTTTTTTCATTTATGAATTTCATAAACTTGAACTGCAAAACCCACTAGAAATTTATACAACTCACCGTAATGGCGTTCGCTCGATGGCAACGTTGGATGACAGTGAACCCTACGGGTGTATATTAGCCACGGCAGGTTTTGATAACCTTATTATAATTTGGGGCAGGGAGACGTTGTCACAGTTAAAGGTTATTACAGTTGATGGCTTCGTGTCACCAAGGGAATTTGCCTTTTGCAACAATCACTTGACAGCACTGCGAGCTTTCTACGATTGTTACAATTTTGTCGATTTTGCCGTGGACATGGAAGCCGAGCATCCGACAGCCAAATGTACGAACAATATGTTTGGTATCAAACAAGACTTTTCACCAGTTATGGCCTTGACAGCAAATGGCTCCCGGGTTATATCGGAAGATATAAAACTCGGATTGAAGGCATGGGATGCTCAGACAGGTGAAGAGTGGTTTACTGTTCAGGACAAAAAAGTCAAACACAAAAAGAACTTGACGAGCATCGTCAACATGACTGACGACACCTTTGTGACAAGTTCGTACGACACTACCCTTAAACTCTGGAAGACGGACACTGATGCTGAAGGGGAATGCAGGGTCGTTCTGTTAAAACAGGTACATCTTGACCATGCAGCTACCTCCATGTCCTTTTGCAAGACCACCAGCACCCTTGTTCTGGGATTACATAGCGGAGAAGTAGCCTTCGTCCAAGTCGCAACTGAGGTAATTAAACTGCAGTCAATTGCGAATATGTAACAGGGGGTTTGTCTTTGAACAGAAGTCATTTGTTTGAAACAAGGAACAATTCTCGTTACAATTCATAACATTAAGACTTCATATTTTTCAGAAATAATATATATGTTAAATTGTTTGAAGAACGAAGCCCATTTTACCACTGTGTTATGTCTCATAAATGCACACGTGCTTTATAAATTGGATTTTAATGTTTATTATTCGTTTTTGTTTTTTTTCAGTTGTTAGATAACACCAGAGCTGTTGGCTTTTAGCGTTTCCACTTTCCTGTTATTGCCTCCATACAAGTATGAGCAGTCGTTGTGATGCAGTTTGTACATGCCAGTCAAGGAAGGATCGAAATCTCATTGGCGACCATTATGTGTATTAATTGTATAATACGTAGACATTGTCCGTTTTGATTTTTTTTTTTTTTTTTTTTGTTATATATGTACATCCAGGGTGCTTTATTTAAAATTGGAAGACGTAGAATTGTTGTTTAGTATAGGCAGAGTCATTTTTAAAGGTACGCGCATTTATGATTATGTGACTGAAATTGACTATATATTTTCCCTCATAGTTCATTCTTGCTATGCTCCAATGCAGTATTTGATCCGAATAAGTAGCACAGGTTAAATTAACAAATATTTACTACGGTGTTGTTGTTTAATACACGTGGGAACACATGTACAGTGTGTAAATAATGCTTTGTTTAGACATATAATTTTGTGTGTGCATAACGTGTATGGCAGCATATAATGAATACCAGTGTGAACCTCCAAGTGAAGCAGTTTTGGGTCAGGTGTGAAGTCACAGACGTGGTATCACTCTAGGTATATGGTCAATTTGACTGAACCCAATAGGGTGTTAACGGGTATGTGGGTGAAAACTTCGGTATATGTCTTCAAACATGACTTTCATGAACTCTCTTGTTCTTTCTTAGTATTTATAATAACATGGTTTGTTTGATCTTTTTGTCTAGGGGTAGGCTTTTTCAGACAAATTGGCCAAGCGGAGAGGCCGGAATTAGATAGCAATGAGACGAATACCTGCACTAGTGCGTGTAGTTGAGAGCTCAACAAGATTGGATTGGCATTTTAACATGCGTTATTTTGATTGTTGTATTTTTGCTATTGACTTTTTTTTTAGAAATGATGTTTTTCCTTTTCTAATGCCGTTTATTGCATGTGTTGCAGTCCTATTTAACCTTCACTTTAGAAAGATGAAAAGTGTGTATTGTAGTGACGCCTAGTTTAAAATAATCAAAAACTTAGATCAACTCAATGAGTTTTTATACAAAGTGCAATTATTTTAAATATACATGTTCCATCTTTACGTGTTTTTTTTTAAAAAGTTAAAACTTTTGAGTCATAATATAGTAACGGAAGTATAGACTACAGAATCTCGCTATAGAAATTGAAAAGGGATTTATACATGTAGATAATATTTTTCAACAGTTTTGAGCACAACTATAGGTCTTAACACGTATGTGGTACACAAGCCTAATGTTCAAATTTCCTAGTACCTTTTAGGGCAAATGGAAGTTTAGCGGTCATTGTGTTCCTTAAGGTATTTAGGAGCTTTGTTCGTTTAAGGAATATGCAGTGCCATGAGAAATGTTTGTCGTTTTGTTCCTTATTTTACAAAAGTACTGCATATTTTTATTAGGCAAAGATTTTGTTATTATTTTGCCGAGAAAACTGAGAGTTTCATTGTGATATCCGATTCCGATCCTACATATTATGTTGACAAATGCCTTTCTCGATTTATTCAAGTTACATGTGTGCAAGGGAATTCGCTTGCTTAAAATAAAGTTGCATCAAAAACATGCAGTGCAAAATTGTATTTCCGTTTGTTGACTATAAATTTTCTTGCAAAACTCTATTCAAAGAACATGTTACATCGCGATCTTAACTAATGGTCAAACATACAAGCTATTAAATAACAGTGACTATAATGTGGCATAACATCAGGCTAGATTTTTAATTTCATATTTCTTATTATCAAAATATGTATGTAGCCCTGCCCCGTTATTTTTCAATTAGTTACCAAAAAGACGCTTCAAGTGTATATCAAAATGAATTTTAAAATGGCGATGATTTTTTTTACAAACTTCAATGGCACTTTGAACTTATTTTTATTGTTTTTTTTTTAATTATTTTATTGTAGGTGGTAACTGAAACTGAAATCAACTATCGAAAATACGCTCAAAATATGTTTTCAATTTTCGCCAATAATTTCCTCCTCTAAATTACAGGGTATACTCTCCTACAGTCTGCATGCTTACATGTATATTCTCCTCTACTGCACCAACTCTTCGTGATCAGTTCACCACGATAGCTATGCATTAATTATGGTTCTTATAATATCTATTAGGTACATTAATATCACGGGAACGATAGTCCCTTTTTACTTTAACATTTTTCCTACAAAAGAGTCACTTCAAAAAGTTACGAAAATGATCAACGTTTTAACCCGTTGTGCTACCTGTAGATTACTAACAATAGCGCGCTGCTCGTGTTTTTTGTGAGTGTGACGTGTCTCAATGTACGCTAAAATTCCATTTGTAACAATGCAGTCTCTCTTACAATATGTGCTGATATCTTAGAACTGGAAGATACATGTATGAAATCACTGAGTACCGTGTGTTCAGTTAAGAATGCGGTACAAATATGAAATTGAATCTTCAATTGTCTCAGTCACAAGGTCTAAGGAAATAATACCTACTGCACGTACATGTCTTTCGATCAAGATTTTGTGGATGTCACCTTTAATTCTTCTCAGCCTTATTTCAATGCAAGATGGCTCCCGACAGTTTAAATCCACAGAAATACCCCAAATAACACGCAGCACGTACATATATAACTTTGCAAATTAAAAAAACCTCAAAATTATAAACTACCTTGTATAACTGATGACTAGTAACACTCGTGTTGTTTTATGAAGTTTAATACGACCACAACATCCGGGCACTTCTTATATACAAATCCAATGAATAATAGAAAACAATCTGTCAACCGGATGACTGTATTAGGCATTTAAATCTTTGATGATTGTATACGATAGCTACATCTGAAGTTGGAAGCATTCTTTTACTGCGTATCTAATAGAAGACGATCTAACAGACGATCTAAGAGGTGCACGCGTATGTTCTATCCACCTCATGGATAGACAATGTAATGTCTTAGTTTCAGCGGCTTCCTTCTTGGTGCTTCTCCTTCTTTCGGGCGAGATATTCTCGGTAAGTAAACGTTTGGAGAATCTCGAATTTGATAGTTTTTATTCTATTAAACGACATTCGGTGGTATTGTTGAAAGAGCATAGCAAATTTCTATCAGTAATGTACGTTTCGATAAACAACCACTGGTATTCTTTTACAAGTTATGTTTTGAAGCTATTTAAAAATATATATAGGCCTATCACCCATCCTTGAAGTTTCTTTAAGTCGATTTTTATGCCGCTGACGGTTTTCAGGAAATCTAGAAACGATATTCTACGTTATCAATCTGCGCAAACACATATAGAACCATCGTTATTTTACATGTCCGCCGGTATAAAGGTCTCCCTGTTTTAAAAAATGTTAAATGAAGAATTATCGAACGTAATACAGATGCTCAGGCACCTCTTGCACATTTGGTTTACGCAATTTTCCTTCACTAAAAGAAGAACCAGTGATGGGGAAAATGATTTTATTTGGCCGTGATAAGGCCTCGGAGTTAGGTAAAGGATAACACTCCCTAACGTTGAATAATGTATCATTTTACAGACAGATGGAGCTGTTGTCAAGATGGGCCAGACGAGCCGCTTGTCGGACAGAGAATGCAAGACCATAGCAGAGAGAGGAGGGAAAATAGTGCGACGTCAAATCGTGGGAAACGTTAGTACACATTCTGGTTAGAACTAGATTAGATTAAATTTAAAATATTTAAAGCTACGTCGTATAGAACGTAGGCACGGCAGATGTGAAATATAACCACAGCACATAGCAAATGATTAACTCAAAGTCGGATAAACAGAAACCGCCCGCATTGGCTAAATAATAAATTGACTGATCTGAAGGCTGGTCGCCTTAGAAACACTGTCTAAGCGTAATATTAAACAAAAAAGATGCATTTATCTACGTCATTACAGTAATTCCCTCCATATGTCATGTGTCTGTGAGAAGTCAGTTATTTCATTGAGGTTATATCATGTGATTCATATTTGAGGATCTAAATTCAAAGGTGTGTTTATTTTTTTAACTTAAGACGCAAAAAACTACAAAACGTATTGTTTGACTGCTTCTTTATTTGGTTGAGGGACAATGACAATCAGAGGAATAAGCTTGAATTCCACTTATAGGAATCTTATTGGGCAGTTTTTGAATTATCAGAATGTAGTTTGACTGTGTTGAGGGGGGTGGGGGGGTACACGGTATTCTCTCGAACCAATTATTCACCATGCCTAACTCACATGTATAATGCATATGACATATGCCTAATCTATCAATATCCAGCAGTGCATATTGTGACATCTGTTTTAAAAAAGATATCTTAATCAAGGTAGAGTGCTAGGCACACACATGTACACTCCTTAGTAAAACATGGTAAAAATGCTTTTCACAACCTTTGATAGCACAATGTTTTATAATATAATGCTTGGAAGACCCACCGGAATTTGTTTCATCGACAAAACAGCAACAGATTTTTGCCATAGCAAGTTTTTCTAAGATTTAGAAAATGCCTTTCTACTATTAGCCTGTCGAATTTGTATACAACAGGAACAGTCCGCATGAATTTGAAACTAATTCTTGTAAAAAGTACATTTTTCATTTAAGTGCCTGTTCAAATCTTTATTTGTTTTCTGTTCGATACGGTTTGTCTTTCTAAACCATTGAAATGAAATGTGATAATGCTGATGTCGAAAGGTTACAATTTTATGAAAACTGATAACACGTTAAAGGGATAAAACTCTTCGTATGATATCTATATTTCACAATAAAAACATTGTGAATAACTTATAGAGATATAACATATTCTCTTTTACGACAAAAACAGCAGTTATAGCTATTATTCTGATATCTGAGCTTGTCTGCAGATCACGTGGCCTCCATTGATGGCTATCCTCTGTTATAATCTCTGAGGAGATTTTAACAAAAAAAAAACAAATTTTTTAGAAAAAAAAAAAAAACAGGGATAAACTTTGAATGTAAAAATGGATTCATTAACCATTGGTAAGTAAGTGAAAATTGTGGTTTACTCCTGGAAAATTGATTTTTTGCCAAAACGAAGAGTTATTATCCCTTTAACATGATTAAGGGCTGTATTTTTTTTCATTTACTCTGACAGCTTCTTTAATAGACAGTATATGAGCAATTTACTGAATTATGCTTTCCAATAACAATTGATTGCCTTTTTTCTCTTTCTCTCGCCGAGCAGATCTCGTGTAACGGATCTGAAGACTGCCCTGACGGATGCTGCCGTGACACCGCGGGAAACAATGTGGAGAACGGGCAGATCGTGTCGACACTTCTGGACGGTATACTCACAGGTAATGGGACAGCTAGTGTTGTTTAAATTACACAAAGGGACGTACTTAACAGGTTAGAGTAAGCAATGACATTTGCATGCATTAATTATCTCTATTCTACCGAGGCCTTGTAACTCAAAAGGATCGCGTATTGCGAATGGTGATATCAGATAGAGGCTACAATGTATTATATGGGGCGAGTGTGGGCGAGTTATGAAATCGAGACGCTTGCGTTCGGTCGCAATGCGCGATGCTTTCGAGTTACGGGGCCGGGTTGTCTCAAATGGTGGCAATCGCCGTTTTCACCAAATAAAACTGCTTTGACGAACGAATTAGGTAAAACAATTAGTTGGAATGAAAGCTATTATGACATGGATATTTAAATCTTGTAAACAGAAATATTTGTAGCCACACTGCGTTTATTTCGGGAATAACGAGATCATTATATAACAAATAATCACGTGCACTTGCTACCACGCAAGAGCGAACACCCAGATTTTTCAATATTTTCTTCACACAACGTAATCAATGCACTGTTCAAATGTAAACCTGATAGCTTGTTGATAAATTACAGGGAGAAATACAGATGGAGATCATATACAATTTGCTTTCAGAACCCATTGGTCAGCCAACGTGTGGAAACGTGTCTGTGGAGTGCGAGCCATGTAGTGATGACTGCAGCTGTGCTCCGGGTAGGATACGTTTACCCTATCATCATTTTTTTTGCATTGTAATGTCTAGACCTCATGGATGTTCTACATATACCAAAGAGTTAAAACTGTTGTGTGCCACAGCCAAAATCACGTAGTAAAACTACTGAACTGAAATGGGTTGCTTTTGAAAAATTGATTTTATTAGTTTGGACATTTCTCTATCCTGATGTTTATTTTGAACTATATAAATTAAAATGGTAAAGGGACCCCATGCACTGTAAATACTGGTACACACACTGTAAATAAGTGTCACAGGACATTAATGAGATTATAACTGCTGTTTTGTACAGTACAAGAAATATATGAGTGATTATATTCATGCCGTATCAATAATACTTACTATATATGTGTGTTTTTATATATGACAAGCGCCCTTGTTACTGCAGGTTTGGTGTGCCAGGCCCCGTCATTCCCTTCTAACGTCTCCCTGATCTGTGTCTCTGACGCAGCCTACGATGAATATGAAGACATCTTAGATGGTGGCAACCTCTATGACCACACCAGTTTCCCGTGGAACAATACCGAAATCGAGGAAATCATCAACGGCACCAAGGAAGAAATGACGACACTGGAGGACATGTTCGAGGACATGATGAAGCTAGCCCCACAGACGAACTGCACCGAATGGGAGTGGGAGTTCACGTGGGACTGGGACGAGGGAGGTACCACACCCGCTGGGACAACCACCCCGGGGACGCTTAGGCGAAGACGCCGTTGTGTTAGCTCCATTGAGTCGCTGACTTTAACGACCACGGAGCTCCCAGATCCTGATTGGTCACAATTGAAAAGAGACACCGATGACGAGATCAAGAGCGTTCTTCTCTCGGCTCTTTACGAACGTCCAATCAGTATGAGGAGGAAACGGCGAGCGCGCCTTCGAAAGAAGCGGGACCTGCAGATGCGGGAATCTCGAGATGTAAGCAATTCTATACCATTGACCTCAAGTAATACAGGCACAGGCACACTTCAGGTGGAACAGAATGTAGTGGAAGGACAAGCAGACGTGACAACACCCTTTACAAGCCAACAGATATATTCCAGTGCCGACAATGTTGGAGAACTACCCCAGCCTGGCACAATGTTCACTGACGTTGAAGAAGAGGGCCTAGGTGGTAATGCCATTGTAGCGGATGTCCCAGAAAAGAATACTGCATTAATTAACTCAAATGGTTTCATTGATGGTGCAGAGAACGACGTTTCGAATGGGCAAGCTATATTAGAAGACGACACCAAGACCAGCGATTTCAAAGAAACAGAGGGCACTGCTGAATTATTGTCTGAGGATTCAGAGGCTGGATCTCACTCAGCTAGGACCGACGCCAGTGGCCTGGACGGCTTATTGGTTGTAGAAGATGACACAACAACCACAGTCTTGCCTCTTCAAGCCACAACACCGATGAACAATGGTGAACTTTACTCCATCCTGGAGACAGAATCTCCAGAAATCCCTGATAAAGATCTGATGGAAATTTTCTTTGGGCATTGGGACCAGACGAAGGGGTCTTTGTACTCAGAGGTTGACGAAACAGATCCAGGAACGGATTCTCGAAATCAGGAAAAAGGAAGTATGATTATCGAGGATGATATGACAACTGCTTTACCATGGTACCAATATTCAACTCCCGGAGACGCTTACATGGCTTACTCAACCACTGGAGGTGCTGCGGGGGTAGCAACCCTGGACGATGATCCAATTCAAACCTCAAATGCTGGAGTAGCAACCTTGGATGATGATCCAATTCAAACCTCAAATGCTGGAGTAGCAACCCTGGATGATGATCCAATTCAAACCTCAAATGCTATAAAAGACGGCGAGGCGACAGTAGAGGACGATACACCACAGCTACCAGAAATGACCGAGAATGATATGGAAAGTGATAACACCATCCTGAAATTCCAGGCGCATGATCAAGAAAGTTCGGTCTTACCCAAATCTTCAGAGGAACTGCCTTTCCACGAGACAAACTATGGCGGAGAGGCAATACTACAAGATAACCCAGTTAAGAGAGAAACTGAAAATGATTATGGTAGGACAAGCGGCGTTGCAGTGGTTCAAGATAACCAAATAACCCCTGAGCAAAAGGGCAGTCCTATGAACAGTTTTTCGTTTTCTGAGAATGGCGAGCCCAACGGACACGCTGTTCTAGAAGATGACATGGCGGAACCAATTTTACAAAAGGAGAGCCTACCAAGTGGAGAGCCTACATTGATCTCTGAAGGGCCGGCGGCACCTTTGGAAGAACCTCCTCTATACAAGGGGGCCTCGTTCATGGGAAATGTTGCTACACCACCACTTTTAATTCAGCAAGCTCCCTCATTGCTGTTTTCTATTTTCAAATTCCAATTTTCGCTTTTGAATCCATTGTATGCCAAGGTGGAAGTCTCATATTCCCAACCACACATTCAAAAAGAGCTGATAGAACCCAGTGGAAATGCTGGAATACCTTCTGATGAAGATAATTTGTCCAATGTTAGGGAGGGTGAGACCACCGGCCAAGCAGTTATACAGGACGAGATAGCAATACCAGAGGAAAACCAACAAAGGGAACAAAGCGGGGAAACTAATGTCTATTCCAATGAGGAAAATGTTGGCCCCGATTATCCTGCAGACAGTCAAAGAAATTTTGAACAACTGCCTGTGAGACAAAGGAGAGATGTTGATCGTGCAGCTCTACCTGGAGAAGTGTCTCCTCTGCTTGGAATGCTGCGGGATTTCAGTCAAGATTTCTCTAACTCTGATAATTCGATTCAAAACCGTGATTCAAGTGCATCCAGCAGCACTGATGATGATGATGACGATGAAGCAACTTTACAAGATGAACCACATATGATTCAAGAGACTGCTCCCAAAGAGGACAGTTCTTTGCAGACTGTCTTGGCTCCAAATAGACATGACACACAGTCTGAAGAACAGCCTGCTATTACAAATGTAGAATCAAGTGGAGAAGCAATCTTGGAAGACGACATAGCTCCCGAAAAGACAGACACCATGCTGAATGAAAACACTGCACAGATTACAAGTGAAGAAGAAACCTATCCCACTCTCTCCAATTGGGAAAATCCCAATTCAGTTGGACAGGCAATACTTGAAGAAGAAGATATAGTACCCCCGGCTCGTCAACCAGATGTTCTGCCAGACAGATATGTTGCCTTTCTTTTCAGTAACCAAGATTCTGTCCTAGATCCTTCCCCTGGTGAAGCTATATTAGAAGAAGAAACGCCTCAAGCAGATTATCGCAATTTAGATGGACAAGCAATACTGGAAGAAGATACGGTGCCTCAAGCTCGCCAGCCAGATATTCTGCCAGACAGATATGCTGCCCTTCTTTTCAACCACCAAGACCCTGTCCCAGGACGTTTTCCCGTGGAAATTATATTAGAAGAAGAAACGCCTCAAGCAGATTATCGCAATTCGATAGGGCAGGCAATACTGGAAGAAGATACAGTACCTACGGCTCGCCAGCCAGATGTTCTTCCAGAAAGATATGCTGCCATCCTTTTCAGTGACCAGGACCCTGTCTCCGTACCTTCCCCTGGTGAAGCTATATTAGAAGAACAAACGCCCCAAGCAGATTATCGCCATACGGAAGGACAGGCAATACTGGAAGAAGATACATTACCTCCGGCTCGCCAGCCAGATGTTTTGCCAGACAGATATGCTGCACAATTATCAAGTGACCAAGATTCTGTCTCAGGACCTTTCTCTGCTGGAGAAGCCATTTTAGAAGCGGAAGCAGCCCTGCCCAATCTTCCAGACGGTCCCTCTTCAGTACTTGGTGAATATGACACCGAGCCTGTTTTGACATCACAAGTTAATGATAAAATGTCTGGAGTGGCGGCCTTAGAAGGTGACATAACAACACCAACACCTCTTCAACAAACCACTCCCAGTGATAACAACGTGCTTTCCATTGATAATGTTGCATACAATTACGATGATGGACACTTTGTCATAGAGGATGATAAGGAAATCCTGAACCCACAGCAAATTCTTCGAGATATTGCAGAAGTAATTCACGAGAATTCGGACATCTTATCAGATTTCAATGGAGAAATGTTTAGCCTGCAGGATGACACGATTACGTCATCTCCAAGTTTACAATCATTTATTCCGACTCAGCAAAGTGTAACTTCTGCCAGTGGACCGAATGAAGAAGACGCTCATCCTTACAGTGCCGTTGGCAGTGAAAATCCTTCTTACATTAACTCAGTAGATGCAAACAGTGAAGCATATCACTCAGATCATGTGCCTGTCGGTGACATGGATTTCAAAGGGATTGAGTTCACAAATCAAGAATCACCAGCACAATCGAAGACACCGTCAGGCAACTGGAAACCACAGTTCAATGTGGATCATGATTTTCGAGTTGTTGGAAATGACCAAGACGATTTAGGCCACCATGACTACCTTGACATGACTGAAAGAGTTGTAAACGAGGCCGACGCTGCTCCATTATGGTCAAATGATGCAAATCGATTTCCGATAGTACAAAACGACGATATTGGCGGTAACATGGACTTGACGAAACGAGATGTAGACGATACCGCCACTGGACAAGATGGTTTCTTAACAGGGTCAGATTTCACGCCAGAGGAGGTCCACAATCAATATCCAGGTGTGGTAGACACTTATCTGCCCGATCCCTTATCCAGTAGTGATGACATCATTGCCGACCAGAACGCAGTGAAAGACAACAACCGCGGGGTTTTGGTCGATACAAACTGGGATATCCCACAGGTAGAAAACGACCAAACGAATGCCAACGAAGGAAGTGGTGTTGATGAAGGAAATGCACATGCACGCTTTCAGCTTGGGGCATCAGGAAATATAGTTGCTGCAACTGACGACACTCTAAAATTCAGATCTCAAGGAGATGCTGCTTCCGATAATAATAAGTTTGGAGAACTACAGAAAGAAGATATGAACAACGATGACCCAACTGCTTCATTGGCAAGTGGAATCCCAGGTACACTCACTGATACCAATATAGCGGCAGAAGATGAGAACCATTTGCCAAAGGCTCAAACAGGCGAAGATACTACAGAGCGACCCTCAACCCCCAGTTTAATGTACATGTTGGGACTTGCACTGGATCACATAAAACAAGCAGAGAAGATCTACAAAGACAAGCCAGAATCTTCAGCACAACAATATCTCGTCAGGAACAACAATCAGGAACAACAATTCCTAACCGTACCGGCACACAGTGCTCGGAATAGTGTTAGCTTGGGAGCAGTGCTGCTCATTTCTCTCAATGTTCTGTTCTATTTCTTTTGAATTCGTTATGAAGCCCTCAGATTTGGAAACATCCCTTTCTTCAAAGCATTCCTTACCCAAAATGAAGGTATTATTATATGTTCGAAACAGCAACCATTTGAAAAATAGCATTCTAGTTCACTGGTGTCTTTGTGGTTATTTTATATAGCTATTGTGTGGATTGAAAAACTGAACAATATGACGACTTTAAACGATAGCAAGTGCTTGCATCAATGTTTCAAATTTGTTTCGGAGTTGGGTAATTTATTTGCATTTATTGTGAATGAATGATTGAAAAACTGAACAATATGACGACTTTAAACGATAGCAAGTGCTTGCATCAATGTTTCAAATTTGTTTCGGAGTTGGGTAATTTATTTGCATTTATTGTGAATGAATTACTGTCTGCACTAGTTATTCATTATTTAATATTATTTTTGTCTTAAATGATTTCACAAACCATTAAAATAATATGGATGTATTGGAATGATTTGGTGATTACAAAAGCAATAAAAAGTGAACGTCATTTGGAACTGTACATTTTCATGGTTTATTAATTTATAAACAATATTTTCATATAACTTTATCAAATCCAATTTTTTTATTTTAACTTCGTGTCTGTATTGCTACGAACTTGTACAATGGGCATGCGTGTAGCTAATTATATAAAAGCACGTGCACTGAACATACATGCCCATTTTTTTCAGAGATGAGGTGTAGGTGTGAATTTGCTATTTTTAAGTATGAAGTGCAAAAACAAAAATTGCTGACAAGGCTCAGTTTTTCATTGATACTTCATTATTTATCTTAGAGAAATACGTATAATGGAATTCGGTTGAAAATTGAATGTCGATCTCCATTATTAATAGATACAAGTACAGTGTACTCCATGACACATTTTCCAAGTTCCAGGGCGAGATTCTCAGACAATCTGCAATTTGTTCAGTGGTTAATTACTGACTCTTGTTGCTCTGCGGGGCGTAGGCTGTTTCCATAGCCGTGCGGCCGCTGCCAGGAACAAGAAGTTGATTACCAGCGCCACCACCATTCCAAAAAAGAGATTTCTCGAACTTTGACAGTTGTGATTCTCTATAAAACAAGGCGTCGCTGAAAATGTCGACAATCGGTTGAAAGTTTTTTGAACGCACTAAACTGAAGACAAAAGCTCGACAAGCAATTACCCCTATAAAACGATTGGGTTAAAATTAAACAAATAAAAACAGAATGCAATTTTCAGGTATAAAAATTGTTGGCGACATCCCCTTCACGCCTGCACGCATTTTTACACATACAAACTGTACGTACTCGCGCGCGTAAACACACACACACACACAGACCAAGTACACAACGTCTAAATATAGTCATGATTGCACATAGCTACATAAATTAAAATTTTCAAGACAACTGTATAATCTACGTACCTGGAAATGCTGCTCGAATGAAGTTATCAAACCTTGTGGCCAGTACGGAGCCGATTCCAATACTTGTCCATCCAAGTCCCAGCAGTACTGCCTGCACTCCTCTGGGTGTCTCAAGGCATACTAACTCAGCCGCTGTGAAGGACATTAAGGCCATTTAGTACAGAACGCCCGAGGATCTACTAATCCACGGATCCGACGAATCCGCTGATGGTCTCCCAGTCTCCACACGCGCTGTCCTTTCAGCGGTCAAGCAATTAAACCTCGAAGTCGTGATTTAATCCGTTTAATGGCGCGTGTTGAGGCGGGGAGACCATCACCAAATTAATCGGCTTTTCTTTTAAGTAACGTCCGCCATATTTAATCCGTGGATCAGTATTTTCTCAGATCTTCTATTCTAAATGACTTCATATACATTTGTACATGCACATGAATGTACATGTACAGTTGAGCTCATAAAGAACTCTCCAGATTGTTATCTGTTTGTTTCCTTTTGTTACCAAAAGTAACTCTCTTGTTAACAGCAATAATTATTGGGTATTAGAGCCGACACCTCTGGGATAACACCCCATGCTGCAATGAGTATCCAAACTATTGTCCGAAAATAACACAATGAGCAAGCATGTATTGTGTTCATGTAACACATCCTTTCATTAAAGGTGGGCGGTGTTATAAGAAGTAAACAATTAAGTTGTTACAATTGTTACCTTTGGTTATGTCTCATTATCAGCTCAACTGTACATGTAAATAATCAGACTTAGATCGTCGATGTTACTGACTGAATACAGTATGTTGCCGCAGCTTTAAAAACTTAAAGCAAATTAAAATGCAGGAAAACATAATACAAAATAAGGATATGGTGTTCTAAAGCCAATTGAAAGTACAGTTCAGTTACAAAACAGTTTTCGTTGATGCCAAGAAGAAAAATACAAGCACGTTATTCAAAAGTACATTCTAAAAAGCAAAATAGAAATGACCTGAGATGAGTTTTGAGATGCATTGTCACAATACCTGTTGAAAACAAAATAATCTCCCCTACAGCAGCCAGAATCCACTGAGGCAGTTGGTAGTAAACGGATATCGTCCTGGCACATGGATAGTCCATACGGATAATCTCTAGCACCAAGGCACACACTACGGATAGAACTATGATGATGCCCCCAAAAGCTGAAAAACAAAAAGCCAAATCAGATGATAATCATATTCAAAGGGGATATACATGTAAATAAATTGCAAACATTACATGTATAGTGTAATAGTACCATTTTTATCTATGCGAAGAAACTGATCTACAGTATAAAAGCCAATCTGTATTGCATTGTATTGCATTGTATTGTATTGTATTGTATTGTATTGGGTGGATTTGTGCTGTATTGTATTGTATTGTATTACGTAATATTGTACTGTACTGCTTTCTATTGTATTGTATTGTACTGTAAAGTGTTATGCCACATCATATCATTCATGTAAATGGTATTAATGGGGTCTTGTTCAGTGTATCATATCATCCCTGTATCATATCCTCTCATACGCCGACACATTTAAATTGATTCATATGTTGGATTAAACTCTTTCTAAACCAAGAAATAATTTTACCTATGCGCAACATAGGAAAGTAGCCTCGACCCATCTTTCTCAACTTGGGAAGCACACAGTATATAATTATCGGGTTCAACATCAAGACCCCCGCGGACCACGTGATATTGGCAAGGTCAAAGGGCACTGTCGCAGGCCACCTGGCGGGAGGGATTAAGCACAATTGCTGTGCCGAATAACTTTCTGTAACCTAAATGTACGAACGAAAATTTGCAATTTACTCGGTACAAAGCTATTTACCCAAATGAAGTATCAAATACACTTGTGCAAATAAGTAGTAAAAATGAAAGGGAAGTTATTGTGGAGCGTATGCTGTCACATCTTGTATTGAACTTATTTTTAAAAAAAGCGTTGACAAATATCTTTGTTTTAATGAAACCCGAATTATTACCCTGAACATATTTAACTTCAATATATGCCATCTTCACGGCATTAAACTGATGTATACTTTTCTGAATTATTTACCTTGTCTGTGTGATGAATATCAGAGAGGGAAGAAATACATATAGAAGTCGGCAAATGTTGTTCACGCAAGTTTAATAGAAAGTATATTTTGATTCAGCCAGTTGTACTGTTGTACGCAGTACAGATGGCACCTCATATTCATATAATTCGTACAGGTACTAGTAATATACTTGCCTGCCTTGTCACTAGGGGAAACAGCACAAACGTTGCCAGAAAAACCAGCATTCTCAGGAAAATATTGAAGAACCATTTCAATTCGCCGTGTATTATTTTTTCTGTTTCAGGAGTATCCATGCGCTTAGTACCATAACATATTAAATCATCAGAACGCTCTATAGTATGCTTCCTTGCGAACAAATTCCTAATCACCATGGAAAGTGAGCCATCTTGAAAAGGATATATACAAATTACAATTCTTACAATGACGTCATACTTGCATGCAATTTCGTAAATGTTCTACAACGATGATAATACGACACAACAAAATGTCTACACTTTTAATTCTAATAGTCTACTAGTACAAATTAAAAAGTAGTTTGACAAATGTTCGTTACACAGAATCTTTTATGGCATTTTGCAAAAGGTTCTCAGAATTAAGGCACAGATAATTGGCGCACCAAATGTTAAGTGGCTTAATTCCCCTCACCAGATTTCGCTGTGTCTATGAACAGGTGCCTTCCACACAAAAGAAGAGTCACAGCACACGCCGAAAGGAAGACCGGGACTCCCATCTTTAGTCCGTGTAGAAGAGGCACTGTGTCCAAATCAGATACATCGTATCTGTACTCCAGTGTGTATGTCGCCATTACCAATGCCTGGGCTAAGGCGTAAATCATGAGCAACCTTAAAATAGATGATATAAAATAGATGGAATGTTTCACTCTGTTTTAGGTGCAATTAATGGAACGTGGGTTTTTACATCTTTTTACTAAGAAGCTACTAGTTCGCATCATCACAACAAAGAAGCCTGATAGTGGACGTATGTTACGGCTCTGTCCTGGTCGTCGAATCAAATTTGGTCCATTTGTTCTAAATTGTTTCTGAGAGACTCTGTTCTGGTCCTTCACCTGTGAATGTCCATCATGACGTACAATTTAGAACCAAGGGGCCGCATTTGATTTGAGGACCAGCTGTGCTAAAGCCGTAACATACGTACTAAGTCTTCGTACATAATAAACGGGACATCAAACATGGCATTCTGTTACGCACGGAAATTATTGTGTTATTTTTATCAACTCTTGATTTCCACAGAAATCTTACGTTTATTGTCTTATCTCACCAATATATGTTTGCCCTTCTCTTTCTCTCTCGATCTCCCCCCTGCGCCACTCCAAAATTGATGACGACACTCCTCTGTAGACCAACGGACATGGCGGATATGCCCACCGCCATGTTGAAAAACACTCCTTGGGTCGCCACATTAATGGTCTGTGGGTAAAAAAAAAGAGAAAACGACAGTCCAACAAACACAGAACGTTTTAAAACGTTGCCGTAACGTTTTTTGGTCATATTAATTTACGGTAGCGTTATAATAGCGCTCTGTGTTCGCTGGGAGTGTATAAAAGTGGAATAAATTTAAGATTTTACCATATATATTCCCCTACCAAAAGTGTGTCACTCCTACTGCCATGCGTGAAATGATATAAATGTATTAACCAATGCCTTAAATTCAACTTTTAGAAACACTTTTTTCCTCACAAAACTGTGCTGGCTGTACAACCGACAAATAAACTGAGCTTAGTTAAAGAAACCAAAGTCATATCTTAGTGTTTTTGCAGAATATTCTGTCATTTTACCTTTTCCTTCCTGCTCTCATTGAAACACTGTAGTTCTAAACAAGTATATAAAATCCAAGTTTCCTGTATTTTATGAAAAACCCTCTAAGTAAGAACTACATGTAGTAAAATCAAGATAAGTGTGATAAGAATACTTACGTCATTAGGGATGAATGCAATGACGTCAAAAATCAAATTGCCTGTCATGGAAAGAGTAAATGGTTTTATTAATTGAATGGTTGAATATAAATGTATACATGACAATATCTTTTGTAACACAAGAATAAACCACACTTAAAGATTTGTAAATCAATTAGTTCAACGGAGCAATGGGATTTTAATTCAAATTATTAAATTTGTTCTAAATTTCAAATATACAAATCATATCTTGACGTCGATGACACCGTTAATCTTACCTAGAGTTAGCATAAAATTACATGCCAATATTAAATTGTAATTTCCAAAAACGCCGTCAGACAGAACACCTCCAAATATTGCTGGGAGTGTAGTGGCGGCTGAAAATAAATATAAAACAGTATCATATGCTTGAAAGAAGTTTGTATTATAGCATTGGGCAAAGTACTGTTAAGTAACATGTATTATGTACAAAACACAAATTGGCCGGTCATCGCCATAACAAAAATATAGATACCCATTAAATAATACAAGTGAATGTCAAAAAAAATCGATTGTAAACATAACTTGAATTTCATTTAAACCAATTAACAAATATTTACAATTCGAAGGATTATTCCAATAGAACAACTGTATATTTAGTACTAGTATGTTGGGGAATATAACAACACTCGCACGCGTAAAATGCAATTGATAAGCAGCCTTTCTCTTCCTAAATGGAAATAATTATTTGTTCTTAAAAGATCAAGAGAAAGAATGCTCTAAGGGCTTGTGTCAAGAGCCTTGGTGGATAGTGTAACATTTAGGGACCATTCCCAGACCCGATCGTACTAAGTGTGGATCGATCTATCTCCGAGGGGATTCTCACTAAATTGCAATCAACTTAAGCGGCTTAGATGTCTGTCTCACCTACTGAATCAGCTAGGGGGTAATGACTTATCGTTTAGCAGCTTCAGTAGGTGTGCCAGACATCGAAGCCGCTGAAGATGAAAGCAATTTAGCGAAAAAATAAAACTCGGAGATGGATTGATCCTGTTAAATCGATCTAGGTACGGGAACCCAGCCTTACAAACTCACCGATATAGATAGAAGTGCTAATGTCTCCGGCTACACCTATCGATTGGGCAAGTTTCTCCAGCCTCGTGCTTAGGAAAGTAAATGAGGCGTAGATACAGAAAAATATGACCGAATACAGTATTGTAGCTTTGGCTTGGTTTTTACGTCGTTTGGATAACCGTTGTGAGTACAATAAATTTGTTGCTTCACTCTCCTTAATGTCTTCATCTTTATGCATTGGGCTCACTCTGTGAAAAAATGGGTCGCTTGTGGTCTCAAAACCGGTGAAACGAATTTTGGAAGTCTCTCCTTGCGAGACACTATGTTTTGTCGGTCCTTCATCACTCTCGGAATAACTTTCACTGGTTGAATCCGTGGCGTTTGTCTGGTAATACATGCTATTGATCGACCGACTGTTTTGCCCCATTGAAGATATGCACCAACTTTCAAGAACCGACGAGGTATCGTCACCTTCCCAAACAGAGCTGCGGTCATTTGCATACATGGAAGCTTCCGCTGTGTTTTTAGCTTTGGCGCTTAATTGGCTGATGTTTGTCGACGTCTTTTTCTGCTTTGCATTTGATGTCTTGCTTGAACTTAAGTCGAAGGGATGATTCCGATCACTTGTTATTCTCATATTTTCTGACGACGGGCAATGCAGTTGTGCAGAGCGCCACTGTGGATCCATTTCCTCAAAACACGGAATAATAATGAGGTGATTCTAGAGCTTGAAATGGCAAAACACAGTATAAACTGTGGAGATGAATACGATTGGATGATTACGCGAATCGCATTAATCACAATAATAATGCATGTTAAATGTGTGGCGGCTGTGGTTTATGGTATATTATCATGTTATCATGTCTGATTTGTCATGAGATGAAAGATCTAAGATTATACATGTACATGTATAATGAGGTTACCGAATGCCCTCCATGGGGACAGCCAAAGTCCACTGTTTGTGAAAACATAGATACCCAAAATAAAAATGTATGAAATCTGTCATGAATCTAAAATATTACTACTAATACAAAATGATAACAGCAATTGATTTTAAATTCTTTCTTGGTCCAAGAATGTGAGCAGTATTGGGCATTTTCCACGTCAACATTTTCAGATGCTTGCAATATTCCCGTTGCAAATGTCCAGACTCACGTTTCGCAGAGCAATCAATTTTTGGTCTGGTTTTTAAGTTCATATTGTTTTCATGACATCATGTACATGTTAAGGGTTATGTTATACCTTTATATTGGTGCTTTGTGGCACCAAAACTAACTGAGCCATACTACAGATTCTTTGAAGAACTTTTATTTAACCAACAAGTGAAGCACTTACAAGTGAAAAACTTATTTTCACTTACACTCGTTTTCAATTTGAGCGCGGGACGCAAGTGTCACTGAAACAACGTTGACGTAATTCTTAATTTGTAATAAATGTACCACCAGTATAGTAAGCACGTGAATAGATCATTACTCAAGAGTTTAAAATCCAATACCTCAAATAGATTACAAAATATAAATAATGTTTGCATATCAGTGAGGTGATTTGATAACATAGTTTACAACATGTAAAATACAGATGTTTTCAATAGTGGGCGCCGACCACTTAAATCACAAGAATCGTAATCACTGTACTGATAATGTTTTACAGTCAATATATCGACACACTGGGATGCACTGGGCGTTTGTCTGTCATATAGCTACTAGTACCATGTCAACTTTGTCTTTATCTTCAAGAAAGTAGCACAGATAGTACCAATGTATTTCAATATATAAAAGCCCCCGCAATTTCACAAACATGGCAATACAGAAACTTGTTGACAATCCGGCGGAAACTAGGATATATCTACAGCTACGAGAGGATGTTTTTACTTGTAACGTAACACACTTTTTACAGCCTAACCTTTCAGCACAGGTCCATTCATACTACCTGTACATAATTAACATCAAGAGACTCATATCAAGACCTTCATCTGCACAATAAACCGATTCTTATGTCATATTTTGCCCCTTCCTAGTATTACTGTTATTATTTATGAGGCCGCCTTCGTTTGGGCAGAGGTTGTTTCCATATATAGGCGGCTGCTCCGAGGAAGATAAAATTCACAGCAAGAACAATAAACAGCCCAAGGAATACATCGGTAAAATTTCTGCAGTTTATACCATTAATGTGGCATGGGGTACCTGTGCGAAATAACAGAAATCATACAGATAGTTATCTCCCATTAAAAAAATTATGAAACAATAATCATTGATCTTAAAATTTGATGGTAAATTTTGCGACAGCTCCAAAATGAAAAATTAAATCTACCGTTTTGTTAAGCTGTGAGCTGACGTAATTTCTAAAAAAAAATGTTGGATCACCTTGTTGACTACTATGTACATGTAACGTATTTTAAGTGACATCGCAACAAAATTGTAAATTCTACATTATAATTAAGAGATTACATTAAGTGGTGACAGGACCCTCCCTCTGTATTTTAAAGTCCATGAGCAAAACATGATTCCATAACGAAATGTAGCACCCTACCTGGGAAAAGAGAAAATACGAAGTTGTCAAACTTGGTCCCCAACATAGTTGCTAAACCAAAGCTCGTCCAGCCCAACCCCAGTAGCAAACCTCTGACACCCTTTGGTGCCTCCAAGCAAGCTATTTCCATGGCTAAAATAGAAATTAAGAAAAATAGAAATGATTAAACTGGTCAGCTTGCATGTCGAATGTTGTAATTAAACATCTTGGTGCAACAGTAATGGTTATCGAGAAAATGAAATGAAATTTATAAGAACAATGCATTAATTAAACAAACGTGAAAGGGGAAATTGAAAGACATATTGGTGCGTCATTTTTAAGAGAATGTCGTATCTTAACTAAGTTCTTCTATATATTGAAAAATGTTGTTTTAAGGACTTACCCGTGACAATCCCAAACAACTGCCCTAAAGACAGAAAAAGCCACTGTGGTATTTGGTACAGCACAGAAATGGAAACCACGCAGGCAAGAGCACGATATCGCTCCAAAAGTAACGCAGACCCAACTGACATTGCCAGAAACAAGCCAGCTAAACCTGTGAATAAAGAACGAAAAAACATGCAGTTACACACACAAAAAAAAAAGAAAAGAAAAAAATAGTGACGCTGTCGTGAACATCTTTATGCATATGTGGTGCACAAGTTACTTTAAGCTATCTCCTTTCTTGGAGATTTCCTTCCACTCCTTTTCTCCAAACTGGGGTACTTGCGTTTATAAATACTACTAACATAAAATCATTCAATGAAAAAAAACATCTTACCTAGTCTAAATAAGGGATAATGACCCTTTCCATTTTGTCGGAGTCTTGGAAACACTTTGAGCACGAGGAATGGCACCATGGTGAGCATAACGACATCCCACACGTAAGAGTACAGGTTCAAAGGTTGGTCAATGGACCAATTCCCGACATGCGTCATGCAAGATGCCTGCCAGTAAAAGCTCTCTTCTGCCTTCCATAACATAAAATGAGAGGTATATTTCAACAGCAATACTTGAACATGGTTTTAAAAAATTGCATCATCAATGCATAAGCTGATAAGAAACTTCAAGAAATTTTCAATGAAATTATTAAGCATGTATATTCGTTCGATGCCAAAGCGCAAACATCCCCAGAAATGCACTGCATGACGTCACGCCTAGCCCACTGCGAATGCGTGCATTTTTAATGAGTTGCTAGATTGCCATAGGAAAATGAATGGGTTCGATATTCGTGGATAATTCGTGATAATTGACACACTAACGGCCTGATGCCGATAGACAGCAACGTTGTGCTATGCTTCAAGCAACTCTTGACCAACTATCGCTAGGGTTTTTAAAAAAATTCTGTTGTACACACGTACTAAAAAGTTTGCCGGGCATTGCCTAGCCTACCCTCAGCAAAACGCATATATTTTCAGAAATAGTGATTTTAGACGGTAGATTCACTCAGAAACAAAGGCAAACTAATTCGTTGCCGATAGCACCAAGAGATGGCAGCACCATACAGAGTCTGATTAAAAACTTTTATGGCAATTGAAGAACTTTTACCACTGTGCAATGGAGTCCAAAAAAAGCACTTGGCACAAATGTAAAACTGCCCAGTGCAAGGCCAAGAATTCAATCAGTATTTTCAATCATATTATCAGATTCTACATAAACTGACTGTGAATATCACTATTTAATTAATCTCTTAATCCAAAATTCCTATCATCATTTATTAATTATGCAAAATTCTTCTTTTAGATTGCTATTTATTTAATTTTTAATGCTGCAACTGTTCCAAAATAATCTTGTAGTAAAGGAAAAATGCAAAAAAGAAGTGGAAGACCAATTTTAACCAAATTATTCATTTATTTGAATATAAAAAGAATAAGATCACGATTTAACAACTTAAAATAATCTTTTATGAACTCTTTCATGAATAACATATTAAACAAAAATAAAAGTTATAAATTAATGGTAAGGGCTTATTCTGGCATATATGACCTCTGCACATCATCAGTACTTGACTTGGTAGATGTCGGGTCCGACATAAAGATAGTACGAAGTAATATGACGTAATGTGTTATTGTGCAATAGCTTTTGAGTAACGCGGCGGTCTCTAAATATGACGCCGAAGTAAAGAAATTAATTATACAATTAAAGGTAATTATGTTAATTATACAATTAAAGGTAATTATGTTTGACGTACATCTCATACTAGTGCAGCACTGGATCCATGTAAAGATAACAAAATAGTATTTAAAGTGAGTGAGGAGAATTGAACGGGGAGATAGACTGGGGACATGTAGAAGGAAGCAGCGGAGGAGGAGGTTGGAAGCGACGGAGTACGGAGCTGACGGGTTAAGCGTTGGAGGCTTCACTTAGAATATCATGTAGTTACTTAGCGTCAACGAATAAATCATTTAACTGGTCATTATGTGGACTTGGGTTTTCTTTGCGCGACCTTACGTAAATTTGACACGAACTGTGGGATCTTTGGATTGCGTTATCCACTAAGTTAGACGAAAACGTAATGTCCTATTTCGAGCCCACGCTTGAATTAAGCGTTCAAAATTATATAAGTTTAGGACATTCATCATAGGCATATGTAAAAGGTTCATTACATAGAGTATAGTATAGTTACTACTTGGATACCGAGTTAGATTTGATAATGTAACAATAAGAACAATATATATTACAATGAACTCCTCTGCACATGTCAGACGCTTGTTACCATGAACTAACACTACTTGACAATGGGCTGCTCCTCGAGCACTTATCACAGAGTCAGTGTGCGATGCCATTGTTGTGCTGTGATTGGCTAGTTGAGTCGCGTGAAGCTCTTCTGTAGCGCCCTCGCGTATCGCGTGAATGCTGCGCATTTCTGGCCTTGAGGAACATTGGAATATTTTGGAGTTCCTTTCTACTGGAACTCCTGATCTAGAAGAGTATTTCCAAGGCAGTCCTCCAAATATAACAGCATCAAATAAAATCTTCAGGGACACTCCAGGATCAAGCTTCTCATCAACGTAAAAGTGGCGTAAGTCAGAGCCATTCCTCAAGTTTCTTCAGGAACCACTTTAACAAAGAAATGACTACTACCAATAAAAGAAATCACGCGAACCACTACTAAGCAAAAGGTTTTAAAATATATGGTGTTATGTCACAGAGAGTCCCCCAGGCCATGTTAGAGAGTCCGTTTCCCGTTCATTTGTACAGGAAGCCTAGATTTTGACCCACTTCGGTCAGGCTAACCTTAACCATTATGGATGGTGGACTTTTCACGGACCCTCAGTTTCTTTATACCGGGCCTTACCTGTTGGGCAGTCAGTGGGAAGAGAACGATGTTAGCCAGAAGTACGAGTATCTTGAACACGACCTTGATTTTCTCTCTCTGCTCCTCTCGTCTTTTGAGCAGCTGTTCAAGCTCTGTTACGGTCATGGTTTGGCCACTCCGCTCAATGGACTCTCGTGTGAGATATCTGGTAAGGACGCTCTTCATCAGCTGGATGAATGACTTATCTGGTGAGAAATGGGGATACATGGATGACCTTCAAAGGCGGATCCGTGGGAGGATAATTTTGAATACAACACTAACTGAAGAGGTTTATCAACTTTGCATGAGTGCTTTACAATAAGTCGGTCTACAACAAGTAATGCAAATCGTAAAGGTTATGGCGACCCCACGCCTCCCCCCTCTCTGCACATTGATATGGAAGATGTAAAAATTAACGAAAAAAATTTTTTTATCATTCAGTGTGGTTTTTACTGTTTAACATACGGTTAAGAATTTTCGAACTATTCCGTTAATCTTACTTGATCAATATTACCTAACGTCAACTTTATTCATAACTAGAAAAGCACTCAGAGAGCGCATACCTCCGCCAAGGCAGCAAAGTCTCCATCCAATGCCGTTTTACCTCTAAATTTTCGATATATTTTTGATTATTGATTGATAATTGATCCGGATCCCCACCAAAAACTAATCACTTCTAAGTTAACCCATTTCTGACCTACCCTAAAAATTCCATCGAAATTCAGCCATAACTTTTTGATTTATGTTGATGACAAGCAGACAGACAGACAGACAGACAGACAGACAGACAAACAAACAGGGGTGAAAACATAACCTCCTTGGCGGAGGTAAAAATACGTGAACTATGCAGGCATGTATACTTCATAATTACCGTCAAAGATCAGAACAAAATCGTCGGAAAAGTACACCTATAAAGCATAGTTTAAAGACAATCTAAGAGTGTAGTGCTTTTCTTCCTTTTTTACCTTTGATGTGCTTGGCGAGGAAGATATCCTTTCCACATATGATAATGATAAGTGAGACTAGAATGAAAACCAAAGCTGGCAACATATTCAGCCCGAGCACCAGGGACGAAGAGTTCCAAGCTTCTTTCGACAAATGCAACTGCAAGTCCATTGTGATAAGAACTAAAAGGTCCCCGGCGGCGTATCCGAACTGGATCCTGTACAAAAAATTAAAAATGTTTTCAAAAAGTAAAAAAAAATGAAAGGCACTTTGCATTGCTAAATGGGGATTTACTTGAGGTGTGACCTTGAACCTCGTCCGTTTCCATGGTAACTGTTCAATTACTCTTTACAAATACAGTCGCATTTTCACAGGGGCGGCCCGAGTCTTTTTTTATCTTTTTCGTTGACACATTTGAGCACTAAGGCAACTGTGTTACAAATACAATGCTTATGAATCTATTACTCACCAGTATATTGCCGCCCTTTGCTTATTCTGCATACGGCCGCACTGCGCCGCGGCAAAGCTAAGTAATACCCCTCTCTGCGTCCCATGAGCCACCGCACACACTCCGACTGCTATGACCGCGGCGAGAACTTTTCCTTCCGAATCCAAGTGCTAAAGGAATGAACGTAGATAGGCTTTATTAATGGCATATAACCATAAAGCATTTTCCACCCATAAGTCATTATTTAAACATGAATATTCAATGTAATCAGTTTTATGCCAAAATAGGTACGTATGGCAACGTTGAATCTACGCGAAGATTTTATTTTCAACTAAAATAGAACTGCACAAGAATTTATCCTATATTTTATCCAATATCCTATATTGTACCTCTACTCGTAACGGAAATCCACATTGAGATATAACCAAATCTAATTTGAATCAAACTTTTGTAACTCCTTGAAGTATTAGGCTATTCTTTATTAGATGCCATGCACGCTCACTGAATCTTAAGTTGATGACAATTTAATTTCAGCTCAACACACTTTAGATTATAAAAATCTTCTCATTAAATTACGCAAAATCTGAGCTCCTTGATATCGTACAAGAAGACCAGCGTTAAAAAGAATAGAGATGCATAAATGCAAATACTAGTCCCATGTACGCACTGTGTCTGGGATAAAGACAACCACATTGATCACCGAATGACCTGGTAAAAAGATGAAAATGGCTATGCGTGATTATACAAGAAAGATTCCCATGCAACGTGAAATCAGTAAAATATTTGCCTTTAAACTAATTGAAAACTTCGACATAAAGACTGAAAGATAGCTGACCAATTTTTATATTGCTTTTAGAGACAAATCACTGAAACGGCGCATGAAATTGATAATAAAATGCTTAATTTTATGATATAATTTAATGATAATTAAAATGCTAATAACATACATCGCTGTCATTATACTAGCTGTAAAGGTTATATATGCAAATTGTGCCTTACCCACTAAAAGCGTGATGAAACAGCTGAGAATAACGCTGTAGTTTCCAACGAATCCGTCTGCCAGGGCACCACCAAATACGGCGGGAACAATTGCAGCGGCTGGAATTGATGGTGAACTTTGATTATTGGAGGTTAAAGTTTATTTTTCTGGTTCCTCGTGATATAATGTCCGCTAAATACTGTGGCATTGGAAGTTTAGGGCAATCATGCTGTCTCCAAAACAGATGTAAAAAACTATACAGATCATTTTAATATGCAGTTTTAATAATTTGAAACCCTTATGTTCAATTCTAGATTTTTTTTTAATATTGAAAATACAGGACGCCCATGCAGTGACGACGATGAAAATTTGCAGCAGAATACTGTGCAGTGCAAACTACAACTAAACTTAGGGAAAGTTGATGTACTTCATTTATAGCCCAATAAATATACACTACTTGTATAGTGTGACATGCTGGCGATTGTGCTGCCATCTGTGTGTTGCAAAGAAATTGAATATCATTGGCCGCATTCAGAACAGTGAACTAACTAGTCCGCGGGTCAAATATGGCGACCCACTAAAATGCTTGACGTCTAATCCGCTATTAGACACTGAATAGATTCCCTGCGGGGAAGTATTCAAGTGGGTCGGCCATATTTGACCCGCGAACTAGTTAGTCCACTGCTCTGAATGTGGTCATTGTCTTCACGTGTAAAATGACAGGGGTAGAATCAACATTTCACTGATAACTGAGGTCCTTAAAAGGCGTAGTGATAAAGATATGGACGTCTTCAAATAGCAAGTAACCATATGTTCTGAATGTGACCATTGTCTTCACGTGTAAAATGACAGGGGTAGAATCAACATGTCACTGATAACTGAGGTCCTTAAAAGGCGTAGTGATAAAGATATGGACGTCTTCAAATAGCAAGTGAGCTTATCTTTTTTCTGTTTGCTACCAGACAACACTCTTATGATTGAAATGATTTTCTTACGAAATGAAAATGATAAAATCTACGCAACATACAATGGATCTTCTAAAAAAATAAAGAGAAATCGTGTTTTGGTCTGCTTCTCTTGCCATCCTGTAATAAGCCCCTGACTACCGACTCATTTTAAAGGTGAATCTTTTTTTCATATTTATATTGTATTCAAGAAAAAAACTCTTAAGGAAAGAATGGCGTAAAATTATATTTGCTGAAGTGAAGTAAATCCAAGCATGAGAGTTGGTCAACGAACCCGCATAGAATTGCTGCACCACGTCGTCATTCAAGTCGAAGTACCTGCTGATTCTGTACAGCTGATAGACGGAAACAGAGTTGGCCGTCCATATGAGCGCGTACGATATAATCACTAGGATCGTTGCCTTGGTTTGGTCCCTGGCTTTGTCGCGTCGATGTTGATGGTCGACAGAGCGGAGCAAACCTTGCCGCAAGATGGTGCCACCTGTCGCCAAATCGTCTTCGTCAGACGTTGAGCTATCTTTCCGGGGAGTACGCTTCTGTTTGGTCGATTTAAACAGGTCGCTGTCCACAGACGCTATGTAGTCATTGACGCCATGGGTCGCGTTCGTTGAGTTGCGATCGCGGTAAAGGATGCTGCTCTTATGCCGATGACTTCCGAGCGATATTTCGTCAAAAGCTGCTGCTGTGTTTACTTCTTCTTCGTCAGAATCGTCTTCTTCTTCGTTTGCAGTGGTACGCAATCCGCTTGATCGGGTGTAAATAGTCCCGTACTGTAATATTGGCGTCCGTTCGTCAGCAGGAGATGGGTCAGTGTTTTCGGTTGGTGCAGTTCTTTCCGACTTTTCTTCAGTTTGCTTTTTTCCAGGCTCTGATATCATCGGCCATATGTGTGCTATATTCTTGGCTGTAGAATTATAAATCTGGTCGCTGTATTCACTTTCCATACTTGTATTGCTGGTGAGGCTATCAGATTCTATCATGGCGGCCGAAAGTTTGTGCGTTATTTCCTTTGGTTTCTCCGCCACTTCCGAATTATCTTCCGGCACGCTCTCTTTTGTAAAGGAATCCATTGTGGAAAGTCTTTTTAAAAAAGTGCTAGGTCCCGCCTGTGTATTTTACCGATAAGTTTCTAGAAAATCCATAATTTACGCACAGTAAAATGCTCAGTCAGTACTACTATACACGGGTAGTATATTACATGAACACCGTATCATGATCAGCTGTATGTGTCATCACAGATAACTGACTTTCGAATTATCAGTATTTATCTACGATATAGCTGTGATTGTCCGCCAACCCATACATACACAAGGATTATCATTATTCTGATACGACAGAAATACCTGATATGGATACAGGGATCATCATACTGGAATGCCTATTTAAATTTTGGATTTTATTTATTTATTTGTTCGTTTGTTTGTTTATTTATTCATTAATTAACCATCAATGTCGTAGCCGTCATCATCACTTCATTATTATCATTATTATTATTATTATTCGTTTTGAAAATGCTATTCTGAGTAGGAGCTTGACAAAGAAATAGTAAATATTTTGCCATAGATCCTTGATTGTTTTAGAGAGGCTTGTGCCGGAGGAGATTGCATTTGCACAACCTATGTCACATCAGCATATTAAAATGACACCCAGAACTCTATCGTGAATGATTCTATTTGTTTTCATAAGTCGTTAGCAATTTCAGACTTAAGCTCATTTAAAGTCTCCAATAAGACTGAATAAAATAAATAGCATTCATTTTCTGTATCCGGACACGTACAACACATTTGTTTGAATTAAATTAATACATATACCCTGGGGCAACGAAGAGTTAATCGCCGTTTCACTAACGCGGTCAACTTTGCAAATGGCACGTTTATTTCTCGCTTTATACGTTCCAATCTGACATACATATATAAGCATGCGTTTATTACATCGTATTTACCCTTATCATAAAGCATACAGTTTGTTTGGACTGTTGCCAGGCAACCTCGCTTGCTACCTGTCCAAGTAAGACTCAGGTATACTTTATTGTGTGTAAACAAGCCAGCCTGTCTATTCATGGGCATGGAAAGGGGTCGGGACTGTAGAATTAACTCCGGAACTAAACGAATTCGATAACAGCGGTGAGACGTAATTTATTCGGTGTCCAATTGTAGCGTGAAGTTCCTGGGCGTTGGAGCGGTAGATGTGTTGTATAGAGAAGAATGGGCAAGGGTCAACATAGGCGTCCTCGCGTTCAACGAAACACCAATTACATTTACCCGCGCTGTACTCAGTAGAAACCTCGGGGATATTTGCACAGTGCGTGATTTTTGTCAGACAAGATCCGTACAGCGTATCGCGTTATGAGATAATCCTATATACTAAGTTTTCTTCTTCAGTTTATATTAACCTAGATTATTGACAATACAAAAAATAATACGCTAGGGCAAGGTAGACCTGCATCACTGAAGAGGACGATTGCATACGCATTGTGATCTGTAAGAATCAACGGGTGACAGTAGACAAATAACAGACGCCGTTTAGGGATTAAAGTGCCTACGGAGAGACGATGTCAGCTTCAGGAACAGGGGTCGTGACAAATCAATAACTTCGAAAGCTGCGTTGCGATTTAAAGGGCATTTCTAGGCTGTCTAATTAACTACATTTGGCGTGTGTTTAAGCTGAAATCTTTAAACACATTTCAACTCACTCTGAATTTAGCGACGGAGTATTTCGATAATCAATTTTGATAACAAGCCATTGCGTGATCACTGAATAATCACAGCCTGTGCATCGATTAAGAGCATCGGTTGTTACGTCGGGGGTTTAAATCGTTTGGTGAAATCACCGAGTCCCGGTGACACCTCTCTCGTCAATAATGCACGCGTTCCTCGTGCTGTCATTCCTGACTCGTTGTCGCGACACTTAAGGCGGCCCAAGCCATCCACTTAGGAAGCGTGAACAACCGGAACGAGCTGAACTGCGGTAATCAATTAAACATTTACCTTGAGTGCGTTTACGCGTTACCACAGCAACCGGGACAGTTACAGCGCTGAAGTCAACATACATATCATGAAACCATAGAACTAATACAACAGCGCGTGGACTGAATTCTTAGAGGTGAATTTCTTGTTTGGCGCAAGGAATAGTTTGAACGCAAGACCCGACAACAATATGGACAGTAATAAAGCGACTTCGGCTGGCGGTGCTACGCCTGTGGTGCCTGTGCAATTATACGTTGTGCGTCTCTCTCCGCCTTGTAGAGCAGTATGGATTTATATGCTACAGGTGAGGAACATTTTGTTGTTGCCATGATAAATGTGGGGGTGTTTTTCATAAAACATGATGGTCCCTTAATATTTATTTAGAGAAACGTGGATCCTCTTAGCTCCTATGTAATAATTCATTTATTTCGTCCAAAATAACAATTTTAATAAATCAGAGGATGTGTGTGTGTGTGTGTGTGTGTGTGTTTGTGTGTGTGCATGCGTGTATGCATGTGTGTGTGTGCGTGTTTGTGTGTTTAAAACAATAGCTTCATGTGTTTAATAAATGGACTAATTCATATGGATAATTAAGTATTTATTTATCTGCCGATGTGCTCATTTGTCTCATTGAAACGTCGAGTTATTGCATACACCACTGTAATAATACCATAGTAATGACAGACTTCATATATCTTCAGAACAAAATCAACCATGAATTGATAGATGTGGATTTTACCCAGGGAGAGGAGAGCACTCCCGACTTTATAATCAAGAATCCCCATCAAGAGGTGCCTATTCTAGTCGATGACGATATCGTGGCGTTTGAAGGGTAAGTGCCAGCTCGTGTTTTATGGCCTTTAGATAAGGTCTTTACCTCCATTTTCGTTTTCTGGAACCACAAGGCTTTATAGGGCTATATTGAAGCGCGTCTGTCTTTCTTTGAGAATGAATAGTGCAGGTGTGAGAAAGAATTAAGAAAAAAGGGCGAGAAGGGAAGGATGTGGAGTGAGAAGGAGGACCGTGGGAGGGAAAAATTCACATAACCGCCAAGCACAGTTTTGTTCATTCCCGATCCATAATATAGTACGCTTTGCGACAAAGTTGCACGTCTCGTGTGCAAGCCCGCAATCTGAGCCCGCAGGTGTTGCGTCAAATTGCCGACCCGTATCACGGCAATGGTTTCTGATAACATTCACATTTTTTGTCCATTTGTGATAATTCAGCTTTTTAATCTGCAATTGCTACAGTAAAGTTGATAGCATTTAGAACCGAATACAAAGTTAACGAGTCCCACGAGGAGAAAGACTAGACGATGAAAGCATTAACTGAGGCATCATTATTCGATGCTAAATACTAGTATTTTTATGTTAAAAAAGGACCGAGAAAGCCATTCACTGTGCACCACAGTAGGCGTGTGACGCTGTAAGAAGGATGCGCAATCAAGCACGTACACAAGTCAGAGAAGAATTTCATCAGCTGTGTTATGTAATATGAATAAAGTGATTTTTCTCCAATCAGCAGCGTAATATTGAAATAGTTTACCTCCAAAATTTCGATATCTCCTGAATAGGGGTTATTCACTTGGATAGCCTCATTCCCTGATGAAGATGTTCTGTTAGACATCGAAATATTGGGAGTAAACTATTTCAATATACAGCTGTTGATTGAAGAAAAAATACTTTATTCTAAACAGGTATACAATTTGAGTAAGGAGACGTGTACGTTACCCTCTACCAGGGCCACAAATGGATTTTTCACTTGATATTCAAAGGTATATCTCTGGATAATTCATGGCACATTTCTCCACCGCTTTGGAGAAAAGTGCACATAATAAATCTAAGGCCCTGGTAGAGGACATGTGAACGTGTACTGTTGATGGTGATATTGTTAACATTTTGCACAATGGAAAAATACTCGTAAAGTGTAATAGAGGAGGAATGCCCCCCCCCCCCCAACTTTTTTTAGCTCTCTCATAATATTATTGAAGATGTCCAGCGATGTCAAAAATATACATTTTAACTACCGATCATAACTCTGTCAAAATAAAGAATTATTAAAAGACAAGCATTAAATACTTTTAAATAATTCTGTAGCGACACAATGTGTCAGATGGCCGTCGTGGGCATGATTCGAAACTCTGGTGTTGAATATCTTTATCAAGTTATAAAGTCAGTGAAAGTCTACTGTTGAAAGGGCTTATCTCTGTCTGAGAACGCTGTCCAAGCAGACGACAGTAAGTCCCCTAAGACCCATTAAGGGACAGCCCATAGCAACCATCGACACAGCATTCATGGGCTCGCCGATCTGTGACGAATTTTCTCTGGGGAGCCAGAGCTAATCCAGCTGTGCTTTATCTGTGGAAGTATTATGGCACACCCACCACAACATATAAATATATTATTATTATTATTGTTGTTGTTGTTGTTTTCCTTTTCTTGTGGCCGCAGAGAGACAAGTTATCATTTGTCAGTCCGTTTCATTATCGTCTTACAGTTGCAACCATTTGGAAAAGTGGCAGCTATGGTGAGAGAGAGAGAGAGAGAGAGAGAGAGAGAGAGAGTACACAGTGAAAACCCTAAGAACACCTGTAGATGACCAAGGTTAACAACACTGTTAAATACGATCATGCATAAAAGCCCTTCTTTACGCCTACCACCCTATTGCAATGACAACCCCAAGTGTGACAAGAGGTACTTCAGGCACCTACGACATTACTCATTCACAGTTAGCTTTGAGTGAATGGTTTTATAGCAATGTACAAACATAAGATAAAACTCGAAAAGACCGGCACAGACTGAAGAACAAACAAGCCATTCTTGACTTTATGACGGTTAAGCAAACTTAGACTTGAGGAGAGCGCTGCGCTTGGCTCACGGTATCATTACTCTACAGTCTACAGTGTTGTATTACGGGTAGGCCCGTACCCTGAGTTTCAGACTACTGGTATTCTGTCTTCATACATGTACCATCCGTGCTGTTTCCTTTGCAAAAATGATGGAGAGCACGCTTCTTTTAGATTAATCAGCATCAACGCATTGAGGCTAAGGGTGAATTACAGTTGTCGCAGACATTATGAGTGCAAACACCGCCCGCGTGATTGTTCTGCGACAAAAAATATAAGTTATACATTTATAATTAGATTATAATGGTAAAATTGGATTCTTGGGTCAGTGGGAATTCTAGCTGTCAACTTCGATCAGTTTGATAATATAATATAATATAACTGATGGTGTTCAATCCACATAGCGTTATGGTTAATAGGCTGTTGCTCAGGAACACAAACGGAGTCGAAATACAAAAGCGGGTTGTCTTTTAATATGAAATGCACAGAAAACCGAGTAGCCTACATAGTGTCTTCTAATCACGGTGGCCTGTGTCTTTTTCCATATTATGAAGAAGAATTATAGAAAAATAAGCAATTATTATACTGGGAAGCACGAGTTGACTGCACACTGTACAGAGATTATGAGCGTATTCAGAATAGCGAGCTGACAAATCCGCGGATCAAATATGGCCGACCCACTTGAATGCTTGTTGTGTAATTCCCGCGGGGAATCTATTGACTGCGTAATCGGGAATTAAGCGGCAAGCTTTTTAGTGGGTCGCCATAATTGGTCCGCGGATCTGTTAGTCCGCTTTTCTGAGTGTGCTCTATGTTCGTCTAGGGCTGTTCGTATATGATTGGAGATGTCTTTACTGATCAGAAATAATTTCAACATTTGGTCGCTCACACTTATAAGCATCCTTTAAGATGTCTTTACCGACTAGAAATAAGTTCAGCGTTGGTTCGCTCATTATTATAAGAATCTCCATCGACATCTCTTTTTTTTAAATAAAATGCGATAAGATATCATCAGAAAACACTTATAAAGGATGTAGTGTACGTTGATTGCTGGGTCAAGAATCTACCAAATTACAATGCACACACTTTTTATTTACTCTATCATTTTGGTTTATGGGATTTTGATTATGATGAAATAAAGGGCATTTTACGGTGCTTCTGTGGACCTCAGACGAGAATATGCCATTTAGTTAGAGAAATGGTGGAAGTGGCCCTTCACTCCCCTATTTATTATGTCTGTCCTAGTTTATTTTCGTACTCTAGCACCCACGTTCGCAATCCGCGCTTTAGAAATCAACACAACTGCGAGGTGCTCAATAATAAATTCCATTCAAGTTTGTAGTCAACACATTTTGTTTGCATGACCCGCCTACAACATTGGACGTAACCCCTAACGGTCACATCTTTGCTGGTCCTTAATATTGTTATTGTGGCAAATCATTGTTCAGGCCCTTAGCCGGGGGGGGGGGGGGAGGGGGGGAGAGGGGGGATTTGGGGGAGGGGGGATCGAAAGGACCGCCTCTTTTGCTGGGAAAATACCCGCTCTGGGTAAAATTTGATCTTAGTACAAAAAGTTTTCATGGTGAAAGGTCCTCTTTTTCAGACCCCCCTTTGGAATTTCTGGCTACGAGCTTGTTGTTTTTCTGTTGTGGCATTCTGCATACTAACCGTGCGGTCCATTGTACGTGCATTGTGGCCGTACCAGTGACCCTGTGATAAGGTGACTGGGCACAAAAAAGGGTAAAGAAAAAGGGTATAAAAGGAGAGCGTAATAAGTTGTAAGAGCGGAACGTAATGTTTTCTTGTTGAATTGATGGAGCTGAATACGCTTGCGATAATTACATCAGTTAGGGGCACCCGGTTATAATACTCCACACGTGTGTCCATGAAAAGTGAATAAGGATGAATGAAGCAAAGGTTTTGTTTGTTTTCGTTATTTTTATGCAAACCTAGTTACGCAAATGCAACTGGGTGCGTTTCTCTAGGTGCGTCTTTGTAAATGTTGTTATTACATGCCTGTCTATTTATACCCTGTCTGATATAATTCAGTATTACTGTTGATATCATATTGTTTGCAAATGGCTACACTGAAAAAGCATTGTTTTATTGCTTCCCAGTGTCATGTGCGAGAAAGCCCCACCTATGATTTTTGTATATTTCATTTAAAGATATAAGAATATTAGTATATTCATATGCTGTGATTGTTAATATTACTTTCTGACATGCACTATATGTTTACATGCGTTTTTGTGAAATTGTGCATTTAATGAGACGTGCACATCTCTAACAGTTGTAAAAGTAGTCTCCAAACTTAAGAGTATTTCTGTCATCTCTTCATTCCTGCAAATCTTAGTCCCTATCTTAACAAACAGAGTGAAAAAAACCTTTTAAATTATTTTATTCTATTAACTGAAATTTTAATTTATTTGTTATTCAGTCAAGCAATCCTACGCTACCTGGCCACGACGTATACCAATTTTGCTGGCTACGGCAATACCGCCCGAGAGCGCGCATTGTGTGAGTCCATCATTAGCTGGGCAAGCAGCGAGCTCCACAGGTGAGACCATCGTGTTCTTAATACTCTATGATTGGTATGACGCAGTGGCGGATTTAGGGGGGGGTCAGGGGGTCCTGCCTCCCCCCTTCGATTTCTGAAAAAAAATCACACCAATTTTGAATAGCTGAATCACAGTTCTAAACCGTACCAAATGGCACTATTCGCCCTCTAAAATACTAAAATGTTTTGGGGCCATTCACCGAGCCCGGAACCTACGCCAAGTGGGGGGAGAGGGGAGGGGCTCTGCTTCGCATCTGCGGACCCCCCACCCCACCCCCCCCCCCCCCCCCCCCCCCCCCCCCCCC